ATCACCCGTCACGGATGTTAACTATGGTTTGGAATTCAACTCTAAAAACTTGTGAACAAGTTGACTCTCTTGAGAAGAATTCCACTTACGTCCATTATGTTCAAGCACTCTAGCTCGTTTACAGAAAGGACTGAGTAAGTAAGGCCACAATGTAACTTGTATTACAACGTTATATTCTACTACATGAAATGTTTTATTTCAGCTTTTAAAAAATGTAAACCTACAAATACAACCTTATTATTTATCTCAGTCAACAGTATTGCCATCGGGTGATCATTATTGTAAACAACAATAATGTGAGTGTTGAATGTGGTATTACCATTTACATTTTGTGAAACCACGTTGTATGTCAGTGCATTCCCTGGTCGGTGTGATTTATTGACCCTGGTTCTGCACATCGAATGTAATGATTAAAGCTCCCACAACTCTGTGTGAATGCTGTTATAGAGTGATCTGTCTGAGAACTTCAACTTTCCCAAAAACATGTGTACTGTAACCTAATCACAAATCAGCTATTTCCTGCTATTAAAGAAATCCTGCATGGGAATTTGCTCTGTTGACTCCCATATGTATTGTGAGTATATGTGTTTACCACTGCCCCCACACTGTCACCAAATATTGAAGGGTCAAGTATTTGAAGATCAAATTATATTATTACTCGTAAAAGTTGGGCTTCACAATGTTATGATTTAACCTTACGGGAGGCTGTTGAGAATGCGACATGCATGTCGTATATCAAAGTGCAGCCTGTAAGTCCTAAGAACAATCAACATCCTCGTCAGCAATTCTCTATCAACTTATTGGGTGAAGGCCTTCTCACACCAACGTCATCAAGCATGGTCTTGGGTGAGATCATTACAAGTTGAAGATTACATTTTATTTTGCTTAACCTGATGAGAACTCAAGAAAGACAATTTTAAGAGTGACCTGGGACATTCATATGCCAGTAGAGGGCGATGATTGTGGGTAATTTTCTAATTTGGTAAATTTGGACTGATTTCTGCACAAAGTGGAAAACTCTTGAAGCAGATGGCACGTGTTGTTATCGTTTTTACACTCGCAGTAATAATCAGGGTGGCCACTGGATTCGCACCGTGAACCTCTGAAACAAGCGGTGAACGTGCTACCGCTAGGCCATGTCACTGCCCAAGTAATACATATTTGGATACACAGGGGCTTGCCTAGGTGGTACAGTTTGGAAAAACTGCTTTGTGGAAAGGCTCCCTTGCATTCATGCCATGAACACAAACACATGTGTGTTTACATTACCTACTTCACAGGCCAACCATCCCATACGTCTGTCTTTAGTGGTCAACGCTGCCAAATGGCTTCTCATGCAGGCACTTTCGAGACTCTGTCATGCACAAGACGCGAGTTACAATGTGATAGGGCCCAGGGGAAAATCGGTGCAATGGTTATAGCACAGTGAGCCATGAAGCGGATGGCCCGAGTTTGATTTTGAGCCATCAGAAGCAAGTGAAGTCTCAACGAGTCGTGCATGTGCTTCATATCACCAGCTGACAATGACCAGCGTGATTAAGTATGGTCAAACAACGTCCCTTACCGACATGGTGTTGGGAGGCCTTCATCGTGCAGTGGATTAACAAAGGAATGTATATTATTATTCGATCACTTTCGGGCCCACCTTTTGCTACGGTTGTAAAATATTATTGAGTGGGTATACATAATATAAAAGTTAGAGTTTTGCTGTTTTGATGGTTTTCGCTGCAAAAATGTCTCTTAAACCCCAGTAATGTTACATTTTGCCTCAACAAATTTTTTTTCACAACAGTAGCTGTTATAATGTAAGTACGTTTGTGTGGATATGCAGTGCTGCATATACGTGCGCAGTTTATTTGTATTAAAATAATCACGAGTACTTCCTTGGATCATACACAACAGTGTTAAACAATTATGAACAACACTGTATGCAGTATTCAGCAAGCGTGACTTCAACCTATATAAACAAAGAAATAATTGCTGTACTTAGTAAATAATGTAAACAAACACACATATATTGTAATGTGTCTACGTGATTGCAATCAACAATCTAAACCCAACATTCCTTTAAGCAGCATATTCTGGTCAAGCACATGAGACATTTGAACATTTTTTTGTTATCCTGATGCCAATATTCTAGAGTTTTATTTGCAGATTACAGATGAATCACTGCCGGAATCTAACTTGTTACTGGACTTTTTTTGTCTCGCTTTAAAGAAAATAATGTTTATTCTTCCTTTAATGAGTTGTTCTACGGTGTATTTTGTGACATGTAAACATTTCAATTGAGAGAGAGTGCAGGTGGTTCGCCGTTTCCTCTCCCAACGCGACGGCTAAAACAATGGTGCACGATTCGTTCATTGTACCCGCCTCTGTATCAAAGGTCGCAAACGGGGTTTGATTCCTTACCCGTACCCGGCCGCACCAGGGTCGCAAACGGGTACCCGTACCATACCCGTACCCGGCCGGGTACGGGTAGGTTACAGGTATCGGGTACCTGATTGCGACCTCTGGGATGAAGCCATGTTGCAGGCGCGGGTGGGTTGATTCTAGGAACTTGAATTGTGAGAAGAGACAAGACGTTGGGAAATGAGTGACACACAGTTACTCACCAGTGACTCACGGCCTACCCGTACCCGGCCGCACCAGGGTCGCAAACGGGTACCCGTACCCGGCCGGGTACGGGTATCGGGTACCCGGTTGCGATCTCTCAGTGGCGGCTCCTGCAAAATCTCTCAGGGGGGGCAAATGTCTGGATGATTGATAAGGATAAGGTCCACCCATGCAATGGATAAATTAACAGCTTAAGCATGTAAAGGCAACTTCACTTCTTTAATATTAATGAAAAATAAAGTGACTCTTACAATACATCTTGTTTGTTTATATACTCACTATTAAAACAAACCACTCAAGTTTATTTTATTAAAGATTCCACTAGGTAGCGATAAATTATATTGTTGGATGAAACGTGCTTACGTATGATGACGTTAGCACGTATGATGACGTAAGCACGTTAGGGCTTGCCCTCCCGGAAGCCATAGATAATGCATTGCAGCGCCCCCGTTCGAAAAAAAACATCTTTCAATGTAAGTCTATGGGGCCACTCGGGGCGATTCTCAGCCGTAGTGAAATCGCCCAAAAAGAGGCGGTACTCCACAGAACGTGACATGACGCTGATTGGACTATATCCAGAGGCTGACAGTGACGGCTAGCGTGACTCTGTGGTTGAATGACATTGGTGGTGCGTCGCCCAATCGCCCTAATGAAGAAACCGCCCCTGCGATCTCTGCTCTGTATGTACAGGGACTCCTCTACTTACGAGCCAGTTCGGTTCCAGAGGTGTGTTCGTAAGTCCAACTTTACTCCTGTCGATTCCAAACGTGTTCTACGGCATTTCATAATTTCTTGTAGATATAGATGGCACTGGTTCTTTATGTTCTGCAGATGTAGCTTCCACCACCACCATCTATTGGGCAGCAGTTTAACTTACGACTCTCGGTCCGAAAAGTTAACTGGACATACGGACAGGTTTGTTTGTATCTCTGAAAGTTTGTAAGTCGAATGTTCCTAAGTAGAGGAGTCCCTGTATTTTAAACTTCTTTCACACCGTACGTAGACAACCATGCTAATCGGTGGTACGGGGGAAGGACAACAAACTAACACACAAAAAAAATCAGTCATAAAGAAATTCGTTTCAATATAGCTGATTTGAAAGTGCATCGCTATAGTGGCTTCCTAAAATCGGAGGAGCGTTCCAGACGGCCGCAGAAGTGCATCTGAAAGCGCGCGTTGCAGTGGCCGTTTACCCAGCAGTATAAATGGGTTACACCAGAGTTGGTATATGAAGCAGGTCGTATTTGGTTAGGTAAAGTGTGGGCACCCCCACCTATTCTCAAACGTCAGGCCACTGTGGGAGCGTAGACCAAAACTACCCTCTCGAGGGGTTCTCTTAAGCTCCCTCGAGTGGAGGTCCTTTCGACAGCATTGGCACGAGCAATCAATGGCAGGGTTGCGACTTCACCTCTTTCACCGTTCACAGGTGGCTCTGGAATGCACGTGGGTTGGTGTGGGATTCACAAAGCCAAGGCCAAAGACTTCAAAACTGTCCCTGAAGTCTGTTGTTGGTGGCCAAGGCCTGGCCTCCAGGATTACACGACTGCAATGACAACTGTTTATTAAACGGATATCTTGCTTAATTCTTTACATTTACACTGTGGGAGATCTAAACCCCGATATTATCTGTATACGACCACATAAATTTCTAACAAAGCTATTTTTGTACCAACAGAATTTACTCGTAGAGCATTGCTTAAAATACATTTTTACTTTGTTTACTGCTGTCATAAACATTTACAAAGCTAGCTCTGGTTGCTTTCATACGTTCTGTGCAGAACTTATTATATTATTTAATGATAAAATGGAGTGATACAAGTCGCAATGTAAGAGCAATATTGTATAAATTGTAGATCTGTAAATGTGTAATGCATTGCGCTGCTGCAAGTGACATTAGGTTACATCTGTTGAGCATCAAGTACAGTGTCTAATGTAGGGTTTATGCCGATTCACGTTTATAGCAACGTTCTTGAATGCGGTTGTGTTTAAAGCGAATTGCACATCGTCCCGTATCGTCTTAGACATACCATATACACCGTTTCATTCACAGTTTATGGTAACAAGACAGGCAAATAGCTTTCACACTTTGGGAAGGAATTTGGGTTTATACTCAGTTTATTTTTTCGGCGACTAAAGAATCATTTTATTTAGTGGTTCGGAATAGCATTTCTCCAAAATGTGTACGGTAGATCCCCTTTTAGGGAAATGTTTACTTTTATATACAAGACACGGGAATATTGTCCATGCATAAGACTATATGTTTAATTCAAACACAATGGACTAACCTACTTTGTTGAGACAGCAAAGCTCTGAAGCTTATATAATGAAAATTGTTGATCGACAGGTTTGTTACAGAAGGAAAAAACAACAGCATTCACAAAGCTAAATGCATTATTGATATGCTCATTTATTTATTCACTTACATAATGCAGAGGAAGAAAATCTCATATACAATACTTCGTGATCCATGCTAATTGAGAATAACAACTAAAGTGTGGGGGTCTACACAATAAAGGAATAAGTGAACTTTCATTTTCTTGCACGGCAAGTTGCATTAAGACATGCCCAGTGCGTATTTCGAGCAGTGCAGGCACTGTCTGGTTCTAGGAACTGTTGCCCCTGGGGTAAGGTGTGCCTGTATTTTGCGGTTGCTGTTTGGTAACGTGCACATGTTAATGCTAAGAGTGGCATACCTTGGTCGCATTTTATGGGTGTTTGGGATATCGCAATACGAATAGCTGTGTATGGTGTACCTGGGTGTGCCAGGAGCAAGATGATCCACTTGATACAATGCAAATCAGAAGTGTAACAACGTCAGTGTTTTAGCGTCACAAAATGCCTCAATGCTGCCCATTAATGACAGCTCCCTCCTTCAGGGATAAAGATGTTTATCTAATAACGATCTTGGATGTTTTAACGACCCATAAAGTATATTTTTTAACGTTTTAACGATGGATAGAAAACATTTGTTCAAAACAATTTACTTTGAGGCTACACATAATCCCTTTAACTTTTAATGTTGTTCATAGTTTATTTTCTAGCATCTTCAATTGTAAAATAACAAAACTATTTGAATACATGTATCACTCGATTCATGAACGTTCGATTTACGAAATTTCGCGTTCACGCAATTGTCAAATTATGGACACTTTTCGATTTATGAAATCGAATTTCTGCGTGAACGAAATTTCACATGGCACGTGCCACGAGATCCAACAAGAAGCACCCGGGAGACTGCAACATTCATCCGTGACATCATCACGATATCCTTACAGTGCAACAGTAACGCATCCACATCACCTTTCCAGGCATTCCAACAGGCAGATATTATATTTGTTTAAAACCCATTGTTATTCAATCGTTTTTAATATGTCTGTTCTGTATTGTTGCTTTTCTATTATATATGTGTATGTTTTAGGTTAGGAGTATAGTTGTAATGACTGTCCAAAACACATTTCCTTATTTTTAGTATTGAATTCATGGGAATAACGATTCCGATTTTCGAAATTTAGTTTTTCGCGGCGTGTTTTTTGAAGAACACATCCCTTTCGTACATCGAGCGATATCTGTCCTCGCTTAGCAATAAGGATACCAACTAGCAAAAAACTTGTGTACATGTTTTATTTTGTGTGTCGGCATAAAGCATGAATAAACTACATTGAATAGTAAAACACTCATCTATATTTAACTAAAGCATGAATTATGTTGAAACAGAGCGGCTATATGTAGCTACATTTCCACCAAAATTGTAATGTAGAAAGGTCTGCATGTGGACATATATTACTCATCAAAACGATAACGAAAAACACAATTGGGCTTAGTAGGGGTGGGATTAAAATTCGCATGCACAATCTTATTTCACTTTCGGAGCTCTGCTTTGCGCAACATTTTGGTGGAAATGTATGAGCAGAGGCCTTCTCCTTATCATGCCCTCTACTCGTTCTCCCCATCGTCTTCTTCCTTTCCTCCATCATCTTCTTCCACCTCCATGAGTTCCACCAGCAGCTCACCGGAACAAGAATCCTCTCCGGCCGCGTTCACGGCCTTGCAGGTGTAACGGGCGTCATCTTCTGCCAACACCTCTGTGATGGTGAGGGTGCACGTGCCATTCTCCTCGTACTCCACTTGCACTCGCAGCGTTTCTTCGATCACGTCATCGTTCTTGTACCAGGTCACTTCGGGGTCAGGGTTGCCTAACGTGGTTTGGGAACAGAAATAACACGCAACTCATTATGCTCTGATGTGAAGAGTTTTTGGGTAAGGAAATATCACGGTTAAAAACCATGATGCAGTGTTTTTATATATGCGGTTAATGCTGCATTGCTCAAATAAAAATAAAAAATTCATTATACTTCACCTTCAACTTTGCACTCAAACTTTGCTGCACTTCCTTCCACCACCTCCACATCACGGAGAGTCTTGGTAAAACGAGGCTTTATTTGCTGAGCCCCATTATCAGACTTAACAGGGGGTTCTTCTTTCTTTTCTTCTGAAAACAATAATATAATCATAGTAGTAACAAGGATAATTTGACCATTTCATTTGGCATACCATTGTATACTCTTCATACAAGGACATGTGCTCACCATCATGTTTACACAGTATTTATTTGCACAAACCAGAGCGAGCATAAAAGAGTGGTGTGTGTGTAATTTACTGATGACAGCTGAAACGCCGCCGCTGTGCCAGGAAGGTTGTGAGTAAAGTCACGCTCACTATTGACTGTACTGGGTGGCCTGCAGGGGCTGCTCTGACCACCCACTCACAGGGATGGATGGCACCTCGCCACTTGCGTTAACATAAGATGAAACGCACCTTAAAGTATTCTAAGCAAAGCATCAGACTATACCGCTCAACCGCGTTTTGAACGTTTGAGTCAATGGACATTGCCTTTGCTGACATTAAAACTGATAACACTCAAGTATGACATTCAACACTGGAGGAAATCTCTGAATTCCCTGTATGCCGACACGAGCGTGAACAAGACATCGCTGGGATGCACCTTTACCTCTACATTGTTTCCTGCATTTAAACAGCGAAAAAAAAAACCTACAAACATCCGAATGAATAATCATTCTGCATTCGTTGCAAGGCAAAACCGCATAACATGCACGCATGATATTTCCAAATTAATCTGGCAAATGTGCACTGCGGTTGGGGTGTGGGGGTGGGGAGCAAACCGCAAAGTCGAATCTAATGAGCATCAGCAGTCCACCGTTACGCGAGCCTGGTGTCCTCTGCACACACGTACGTTTCTTGACCACGCCGAGGTTGGCTTTGCAGGATGCTTTCCCCGCAGAGTTCTCGGCCAAGCAGACGTACTGGCCAGCGACGTCCTTCCCAGCCTTCGCCACCGTCAGCGTGCACGCGTCTCCTGCGCCGCCAACGTCGAACGGATCGACGAACAAACGCGACTCAACCACGTGCCATCGCATCTCTCATTGTCTCATCTTCAGCTATATCTATGCGCCGTGCGAGCAGTGAGAGTTGTCGAACGATACTTCGCCACGCTGGTAAATGCGGGTTGGCGAAGGTTGGGGCCAGTGCAGAAAAACGTGATTTTTATGCAGCGATCCTAGACAATTGTGTGTTTCTCTGCATTATTGACGTTTTCACTAAAGCCCAAAAACAACGCATATTCGCATGGTGGTCACCAATCCAAGCACTATCCATTCTCAACCCTGCTAAGCTTCTCAGGTCTGGCTTATATGCACACTTAATCTCTATTACTAAGGCACGAGTTGCGTCAACACACACACACTCACTCACACACAAGGCACGGCGCACCTTCCTGCGAGATTGCGAGGTCCTTGGAGGGGCGGACGGCCTTTCCGTTCACGGTCCAGGAGATTTTGGGCGCCGGCTGACCCACAACCCGGCACTGAAGCACAACCTTCTCGCCCTCGAGCACCTCGGCGTCGGACAGAGCCTGCGAGATCTTGGGCGCAGAGGTGGCGACAGCCGGAGGAGCCTCCTTGACCTTGGGAGCAAAGTGCCCTTTCGCGGTTTTGGAGGCATCCAGCGGCTTGGGCTGCTCACCTTGAGGGCTCTGCTTCGGCTGCAGGAAGATATTGCCCGATAGTTTCTTCGGCTCGGGTGTTTCTTTCGCTTTCACAGTGGTTGTCGGGAGATGCCCCAGCGGCTGGCGGGGTCTTCTTCTTGTTTAGCACCGCTCTGAAGTCTACCTGTGGGCTCGGCTCCACTTTGGGCTTTGTCTGATTTAAAGCACGAAAAGCCATGATCGACGTGGGGGGACGCGTGCCGTCGAGAAGAAGTTTCGGTGGTCGCCTTGGGCTTGTGACTGACTGCGCTGCCCTGCTTGTCTGGGTGGGGATGCCTCCTCCTTCTCTGTGTCTCGCCGTGACACCGCTGGGCTGTACGGCTCGCGAGAATGCCGGCTTTCTCTGCAAACGGGAACCCCGTGCAGATGGATCACAACAAGGCATGCCTATATAGGGATAAAAGTTTCGAACACGGCATCACAGAGGCCCCCACGCGGATTTTCACTTCCAGTAAATTCCGCTGGCGGAATACGAAATGTTTCATTTATTTTTGAGTATCCTCTGATGTTTGTTGTTGTTGTTGAGGTTGGATTGGTGCCAATTTTAGAAGCAAGATCAAACGTTTCGATGGATATTTTTTATATAATGTAATATAAACGTGCTTTTTTCACTTTTACCGGCAGTCTTTTAATAATGTTTTTTTAAGAAGTCTCCCGTCGCGTGATCAATTGTTTTACTCTGGAGGTTAAAACTCCACTCTGCCCACACCGCTGCAGCTATTACACAATATTATATGGTAACACTACCTCGTTAATCATCATGGTGGGTATTTTAGCGTCTCTAGCTTATACACACTGCAGGACCTACAGGCTGTTTGACAGCTATCCTAATTGAAGGGGGTGGGGATATGAATGTGCAAGGATATTGGTAAGGACATGTGGATGTTACATTACACCACGCGGAAGTATTTCCAGCCCTTTGTCAGTCCATTTGCTGGATGACAGCCTCCCCACGCTGCGCTGCTTGGTGGGGGTTATATGACCATACTTCACCACGCTGATCAGTGCGGGTTGAAGGCAGGGAGCATGGACGTGGGAGCATAGACATACCATACAACACTATGTTTGTACTACCCTCCTGCTGCCCATCACGTAGCCCCGTACGTACTATGCCAATCCGTTACCACGTACAACAACAAATTGTTCCCATGCACAGCAACCTGCTACCATGCACAACCTTATTCAACATTCTGTTGTGCATGGTAACGTGTTGGGGACTACAGCCACAATTGTACCGTGGGCCATTGATTGTTGATATCGAGTCGAAATCTACAAAGTGCAGCAGCCCTGGAGAGAAGGACATGTTAAATCAATTCACGGGGACAGAGAGGATAAGAGTGGATCCGTTTCTGTGCAGGCAGCAGAGGTTGACGGGGTTAGACATTGCGAACAGCGTGGGAAGGATGAGAAGGAGCATCCCACCCACTGTTCGTGTACCGCAGTATGTTATATGTTAGATAACGTACATGTAGAGTTGCCTCGATATAATTTTCACGATACGATATTGAGGCTCACGATACGACGATTATCGCGACATCAGTTTCCGAGGACGCAATAATTGTATTTTAACGTCCCCGCGTTGATCTTGTGCTCTGCTTTCATTCCATAAGGCGTACAACGCACATGCTGTCAGTCACACGATGAAGGTAAATTTAATATGAAACTCCCGAAGGTCGCGATGTAATATAATCGCCAAGCCGTCAATTAGTCCAATTAATATTATTTAATACAGTACTCGTATAATGTATGATATATATTTATTCACAAATTTTTATTTCTGTTTTGAGTTTGTTATATTCTGGATATCGTGTCAGGAATTTAAAACTTAAGGGAACACATTCATGAGCAACGATCATCACGATCTAATGGTTTGCTGCACAACGGACGATACGATTTTTGGTGGATCTTGCATTGCACAATATATCGCAGTATCGCAAAATTGCAATAACCCGAGTATTTATATAGTACCGGTTATGTATCGTGTACTCCAGACAGATTCGCATAGACTCGAATTAAAACTAAACAGATGTGACTGCTTGTCCGCTGCTGCAGTTTCGGGCCATGTAAACCAGATCCCAAACATGGTCTTGCTTGCAGAAAAGTCCCTATCTACGTATGTCGACTGGCCCTTATTTGCACAGACGCCCAATTTGTCATGACAAACGAGAAAGCATCTGACGTCTAAATCAAGGGGGTTAACGGGGCCCGTCGTTGACCTTTTGCGTCCATTCCGCGCGTCCATCTCGGTTGTTCTGAAAATGTTTGGCTGTGTTGTGTAACACACTTCCTGCTTACCTTGTATAAAACTGAATGCGACCCCTAATTATGTTTAACGTTGCAGGTCACTTCATGTGGCGTTACATTCACAAGCCTGTGTGACTCCACACAAGTAAGATATGCAGATTGCACAATCACTGTGGGTTGGAGGGTCATGCGGTGATTGAGCCTGAACAAGACACGCATCCGATGGGCGTAGAGGTGCGGTATCGTAGGAGACAGTACAGCAAATAGTTTTAGTGTTTTCCCAATCTTCTGCTCTAATTTTTAATCTGGGCACTCAACACACAGAAAAATTCAGCATAAGAAAACGTGGCCAAATATCCCAAAGCAGGACCTTCTTGAGAAAGAGATATGAGATTGAGTTAAGCTTTTATGAGTAAACTATGTTGTGGCATGCATGCATTTTATAACAAAACTACCTTTATAAGGTTGAGCAAAAAAAAATAAACAATTGGCCTCTTAAAATATGGCAAAAATGTTACGATCTTCACTAATAAGCCTTGATGCGTATTCCATTGTTTGTATGCTGAAGAAGGAAGCGTGCCGAGGCTGTATGGCTCCACATCTATGTATGGAAATTGCTAAAGCGCACCCTTGTCCACGTCAATGGCAACTTCTACGTCAGCGAACTGTCAAGTTACGGATTTATATGGACAAAAAATAAGCAGGTTTTGTCTATAATGGCCACCAACTTTTGTTTAATCTGCAGCCGAAAGTAAATAAGTAACATCCGTTGTATCGATGTTTATGCGTGCTGCACTCCGCACAGAGCGGGTGTCCCAAAATGACCAAAAAATTTGCCAGATTTGGCTGGAGGATGTTTACAGCACAGTTATCTCGCATCGCTGCCTCTTATAATTATGGATTTTTGTTGCAATCTATTCCAGATAATATTTTCTCATTAAGGCATTAAACGAACACTGGTGTGCGTGTTAATTGCACCAAAACTCCGTGCATGCAGATGTTGGTTCTCATCTTCACATGTGGTATAACAAGATGGGATCAGATGATGGATGAGGAAAAATACACATTAAATACGGAGCAATAAATCACGATCCTAATCTGACAGCAAGTAGAACGTGGCAATTAATATTATGCTGCGGGCTGGACATTTTCAAATTTCACCAATTATTACGATGAACCCCAGCTGAATAATTTGCAGTGCTATATAAGGGGTGGCCAGAGAAATGTCCTTGTGATTGGTCAAAAATGCATGACGACCAAATAGCTTTCTCTCTCAGCGCATTACTATGCCGTGGAAGAAGGTCCAGTTGCATTGATCCGTGTGTACGCAATGCTTGGCATAGTGCAACCATGGAACGTTTGCCCACCTGACAACACTGATGTCCAACTAGCAGGACTGCTCAAATTAAGACTGTATAGAAAATTCAAAATTGAGAGTGGAGAAATCAACTGGTGAAAAAGAGTAATTGAAGGTGTTCTTGGGGAGGTTAAGAAGGAGAGAAGTTAACTTGGAATGCAATTTTTTTTCTAAATATATGCATTGGGCAATCGCAACGATGGAAGCTTGATAAAGACATTTCTGGAAGGGTATTGTGAAAGACACCCAAGAGATGGAAAAATATGATTTTTGCTTAAATTAAAAGAAGGGGGTTATTACGGTGAAATGAAAAAGAGAGATCAGATTTCGATTTAAAGCTTTCGTGACTGCATGGATTCATATTCTTGGTTCTTTCGGTAAAGTCACGTAGAATGAAAATAATGAAATAAGAAAAAATATAACAATGTTTTATTTCTTATTATTTTATTATTTCCATTCTACGTGACTTTACCGAAAGCACCAAGAAGAAGAGAGATCAGGTTCAGAGAGAGTGGAGAAAGTTTCCACCAACGACCTGCCATTGGGCATTTGATTGAAACAGATAAATGATGACAAATGCATAAATTTGGTCAAACACAAATGAACACATTTAGATAATACATTTATATTATCTGTAGCTGGCCAATTTTATTAAATAAACCCAAAGTGCATTCACAACAACAAAGCCAGCATCACAAGACATTCATTCGCATGTTTTATTGTTAAGTGCTAATCCATCATAAAGTACCGAAAACAAATTATCTGATGGAATATTTGCATATATTAATTTTGACTACTCATCAGAAGCTGTAAACACATCAAGCATCACATGCAACAACAGGTGCGAGTCAAATAGTGTACTTTATTGCAGGATATTGTGAGTAAAACTTGCATTTATTGACAATATCTGTTAGTAGAAAATATGTAACCATTTGGTATAAGCTGTTAATATGTATAAATTAAACTGAAGCTTTGGGCATCTAATAAACGGCTATTTTCGATGACAAACATCAATACACATTACTGCCAATTACTGGTCACTGGGCATTTTTTATAAGTTTAACTTTTTTCAAAATAAAAAAAACAGTGAATGTGTTTTTGTTCGGGTTTTACATGAAAATTAAACAGATGTACACCATCAATTATAATATCACGCAGGAAAACAGATTTTGGAAGTACACTTTTCATGCAAAAAGATACAATGTAAAGTCCCAGTTACAATGATGCTAAAAGTAGTTTTATTTGTAACATGATGTTAATTAAACACATTTGTGGATTTATATATTTTTCAAATCAAACCATTGCAAGGCACAACTGTTTAAAAAAGTACATATTGTAGCTTGAGGGCATATTTTAACAACCCTGTCGTTACCTAATACAGCGTGTTAAAAATTCCATTATTTCTTAACATAGAAATGTTCTATTTAAAGCTTTTGTGACTGCAGGGATTCATCTTCTTGGTTCTTTCGGTAAAGTCACGTAGAAGGGAAATAATAAAATAATAAAAATAGAACATAAAATAATTCTCACGACGTTTCGGCCACAATGCAAGCTGTCTTCCCGACGGCTGCTTGCGTTGTGGCCGAAACGTCGTGAGAATTATTTTATTATGTTTTATTATTATTATTTTATTATTTGCCTTCTACATGACTTTACCGAAAGAACCAAGAAGATAGAAATGTTCTGTAGCATAAAGCAAACATTTCCATCAAGAATGTAAATCCTAGAACTATCACTACTATTGCAATGAAGTAAAAAAGAAAATAATTTATGCTAATTTATGCAAATGACTTTTTTTTCCATGACGGTGCTATCGAGTTGTGGGAATATGTAGCTCACGGACGCACGCAACACGTCACACAGCACCAGCCTGAGCGACTTCGCCAAGTGGGCCAACCTCGCAGCCCACTGGGAGTCTGCGATGAAAATTATTTCCCAACAGCAGAACACGTTTACCAAAACCGCAAAATCGCATTTGCTCTTCACCAACACACTGGCTTAGCAAATCTCTTTCAGCCGTCCTAATATCACTTTCAGCAGAATTACGCATGCCAGATTTCTCTTTGCACTTTAGCTCTCGATGGAAACATAGCAGTACATGCATATATAATCAAGGGGTCCTCTAGTCTTTAATAATTGTCCTAAACTCATACCCCCTTCATCACATATCGGAATCCATCTTCTGAGTAAAACAACAAATATTATAATGACACGGTGCATTTATTAAACAGAGGAATGCATACATGTTTTACAAGTTGATGCTCAATGATACAATTTATAGAACGAGAATGATTTTTATTTCTGCATTAGTTCATTTATGTGTGCATTACAGAAAATAATACTCAAGAGATATTGTACAAATATATATGATTTTTGTAACCATGTTTAGGAGCCAAATATAGAAGATACAAAAGTATTTTTTTCGTTTTAACTTTGGACCACAATTAAATGTGTATGGCTTTTAGTAGCATTGTGTACACAATATTCTTAAAATAATCTACCCAATTATCTCCACATGGTATTTGAAAATTTTCGGGTACTTTTTTTTGAAGATACAAACAATGTAAATGTAAAAATAACATTAAAACGACAAACTCCATTTTGGAACATTATCTACAGTCTATTTTAGTTGTTCTCATAAACATGTTGCAAAATAAAGTCAATTTTTTAGCAATATAATTAATCTGCTTTATACTTTTTAATGTTGTAGAAACCACAAGCCAATACGGATGGAAAAACACCTGCAAATCTCCATCTTTAAGTGGTCTAAACATTAGATACAAACGCATTACACCGGGCAATATCGCTTGATTATATAAAAAAAAGCAATTACGCAATTAACTCAAAACATTACCAACACATCATTTGTGTACATTCTTCATTAAGCTTTAAATAATGGCCTTGCATACCTTAACAGAAATATATTTAAACTGCCTGTAAATATATTAACAATTTTTTTCTCAGCGTGTTTGTGGTGAGAGGATAAAATAACTAAAATCGTAGTTTTTCAACCATTATTTCAGTGTTACTATTTCTATTGCTCGTTGTGCCACTCATTTTGTTATTTATTGGCGAGAAGACGTGCAGAGCACGTGGCCTCACCAAGGCCATTGATGGCTTTGCAAATGAAGGTGGAGCCGTTCAGCTCCGAGCCATCCGTGATGATGAGGGAGCAGTTGCCTTCCTCGTCGTACTCGATCTGGAGCTGACGCGACTCCTTGATAGGCTGCCCGTTCCGGAACCAGATAACCTCGGGGTCTGGGTAACCTGCCAGAGGAAAAAGGAGGTGTTGAGTACGATGGACTAACGGTTTGCTACCTATCCCAAACCCAAAAACAAACGTGTCCATTTGACTTTGATAAAAACAAAACCATTATAACAGCCTGACAGTCATTCTAGCAAGAATGATGACGGTTACACGTATATATGATAAGTTACACATCATTTCAAAACGTTATACTGAACCTTTTCCTGGGAATGTGATGAATTCCGACAAGTTTATTTCCCCAGTGTCTATTGTGTACGTGTGATTCATTTACAATAAGTGCACAATGCTTCACACAACACCAAGTAAAAACAATAAGATTAAAATGACCTTCAATCTTGCACTCAAACCTAGCTGAAGAGCCTGGCACCATTTTGGCATCTTTCATTTTCTTGCTGAAGTATGGTTTCGTTTTCGATTTTTCTTCTGCAACGCGGCTGAGTGGATTCACTGTTGGTGAATCTGGTGTCACTAGGGGGACACAGTAGGAAAGCAAACGACTTCAGTTATTTTACAATGGTTACAATCAAGTGTGCAATCACATTAATCCATTATCAGCTCAAACCGAGATGTATGAATGGACATCGCTCAGCTTTTCGCAAACGTGTTTAGGTACAATGACATTGTGGACTGTTGTTAAATGTTGTTCCTTTAATAAAACCCAAGGCTCAGATGTCCTTCTTTAATTGAAAAGACAGTACCGGTATTTTAGGAGGCAGGCTTTTTGATCATATCCTACCCCAAGTGGCCTTCTGAGCATTTAACCATGTTTGTGCAAACATAAGTGACAAGGCTGGATCTCGTCTTACCAGATACATCGTTAGTGGCAGGCGGAGATTTTGGGCTGGGAGGAGACACACCAGAAGATCGTTTACCACCAATCCCCAGCATCGCCATAGATGAAAGTCGCCCAAGTGCACGTACAGCATTGCCAGTTTTCTGTCAGACCAAAATATAAACATCTCACCGATTCAGCAATAAACATTTATACTTACGAGTTTGTTTAAATGCTAAAAATGCATTGCATGATGGTGGAACTGTAATTTTGTAAAATGTATGTTCACACATCCGACCATTTCACATATCCGACTATATCTCAATCCTCAGTGAGCCAGCTCCGCAACGTTGTAATGTATATATGAAAAATCGACGTCTAACGTTAGCCATAACAATGGCTTCATGAAAACAAAATAATCAAATATGTATGTTTTTACCATAATAGAGGTGTTTGGGTCAAATCGCGTAAATATAAACCTGCCACCACTAATGCTCATTAACAAACCTTACCTTATTAACAAACATTACCTTAGTATGGTTACCTTAGTAAGGTTTGTTTTACACATACTTCACATCTTTAAGGATGCGTCTTGGATAGAACACTGGGAGGACTGGAGCAATAATACACTTGTTGGAGTTTCCCTTGCGGTGTTTGCAGTGCTATCGTTTAAACCGTGGCGTTGCTGGACGGCGTTTTACCTGCCACTTCCTTTTGGTGAGGTAGCGCTTCATCCTCTCCTTTGAGAGCTTCTTGGCTGCCATGTGCTCTGTGTCCATCTGCAGCCAGGGATGCTCCACACACTGTGTGCAAGTCAGACGCTCCCTGGCAAAAGAATCAGTTCAGGAATCTTAAAACAGTAAGCGTACAATCGCATGCAAAGTGCTGTACGTGCAGAGATAATTTTGTGTCAATCTACTTCTGGGGCAGTCAATCTGCATGACCATACTTCACCACGCTGGTCAGTGCGGGTTGATGGAAGTGGTGAGCGTCGTAGATGTGGGAGCATATAGATACAGTACAACGATACATTTTACCGTCCTATCTTTTCCTGACCAACACGTCGTACAGTCCTGGAGCACCACCTACGTCAACCTGGCATGCACGGTAGTCGCCCATCCAAGCACCGTCTAGAATCAACCCTGCTCGGCTTCGGAGAACCGATGAGATCGATGACATTCTGGGTGATTTGGTGTTAAGGCAGCACTATGTTAAATGCATTAATTTGCTTAGGTTATTGACTAATACTGTACTGCCCGGTCACATTATATTGGTGATTTTTTGTCTCGTTCATTTTCAAAAGCTATTTAATTTTCATTAAAAAATATTTTACGTAATATCCTCATTGTTTCTCTATTTTATTTCAAATTTGTACAATACACTTTCCAGGCATGCAAAAAAAAACAACCACGACGTTTGTAGCAAAGGGAAGACAAAAAGTAAAGATGTACAAATTAAATCGCACAAAAAAATACCTTACTTCATGTTTTTCTGTAGAAGGTTACTAATGAAGTCTTTGGAATCTTCAGATATTTCATCGAAGGCCTCGTCGTCAAAATCCCACGTGGCCGATGTGACGTTTGCCAGGGTTTCGTTGTCATTGTCACCCATCAATGGGGACAAACCACTGACGCTGCAAACGAGGCAGCAGTGCACGTTTAGTGAATACGGTAACCACTGAATAAACTCGTGCAGGGAGAGGTGTGCAGTGCTGAACGAACCAGGAATGTGTTACCACGCAACATACATCCTTTGAATTAAAACATGTTCCGTAAAATATGACGAGAAAACCCATCACAACGTGGAAAATGCATGCAAGCCGGAAACAGTTATATATCACAACAAAGGCGTGCTCCGAAACAAGGCTGAGTGTATTGTATACGCAATGTGGTGGTCACATGACACGTATGCAATGCAAGGCATAATGGGAGTTGTGAGCACAACTTTTGCGTTTCTTTAAATCTAACTGAGCAAAATCAATCATTAACGTCTCAAACGTACTTACAGTATGTAACAGATGACACCCACGCTCCACATGTCAGTAGCATATCCAATGGGCTCGTAGTTTATGACCTCAGGTGCCACAAATTCTGGTGTTCCAAACATGACCTTCAGATTCTTGACATTTTCTATGAAATTAGAAAAAAGTCACGAACGTACGTTAGAAAAATGGCACCAACAGTGTGCGTTTTAAAGTATGGATGATGAACATTATACAAGTTTTGAGGAAGAGGTACAACAAAGATTCACCGGCATGTTGTGTTTGTACATTGCAAAGTGTAATATGCATAGTATCAGTACATGTACAGCTCTTTTGTCACTCCACTGCTGGATGAGAGCCTCTCCACATCATGCGGGTTGCGGGGGTTTATTTGACCATACTGTACCTCCATGCTGGTAAGTGTGGATTGGTGAAGGTGGGCAGCATAGACTTGGGGGAGCATAGAAGTACAGTACAAAAGTGGATTTTGCTGCACTGCGCTCTGCTGCCCACAATATAGATCCTTAGCGTTATAACAAGCTGAGGTGCACGGTGGTCGCCCATCCGAGCACTATCCAGGCTGAGAGATTTGACAAGGATGAGGTGCACTCAGGGTGATTTGGTCATAAGTGTTGTTTATATGCCAACACAAATACACATTCTCACATGCATGGTCTGAATTAAACGTCTCTCCATGCTCAAACATTCAAAAGCATTCAAACGAGCATGGGGAAGTGTTCAAGCCCTGATTCATTTGTGGAAATTCTACATTCCAGTGGCAGGGGTCTTGATTTCCACAGCACAACCACTATAAAGATTGTATATACAGTATATGACATATATATGACAACAACACGTGTCTTGTGCGTCATAAGCAACCCAGCGGGAGTGTGGTTACCCAGTTTGCGAGCCAGCCCGAAGTCGATGATTTTAATGCGGTTGCCGGTCTGGTTGAGGCACATGATGTTTTCTGGCTTGAGGTCCAGATGCACGATTCCTTGCCGATGCATGAACTGCACCCCCTCCACGATCTGCCGCATGTACTTGATGCACTCTCGCTCTGTCAGCTCAAAGTCCTCGTCGATGATGCGCTCAAAAAGCTCCCCGCCAGAAATCCTGATTGCACGTCCAATGCCAACACAACGACAATTACCTTTTACAACGGCCATGCAAGTCATGTCAACGTTATTCATTGTTTACGTATTTCAATAATTCTGTAATCAAGTTATATGGAGATGAAATACTGGTACTTACAGTTCCAAGACCATGATAATATCTGTTTTTGACTCGAATGCATCAACACACTGGACCAGCTTGGGATGATGCAACGAGTTCATAAGAGCAATTTCTTGATGAATGCTTTCCTTGTCCTTTGCTGTGAGGGCCTTTATAAACTTCCCTGCAAAGGTTTTCCCACTCTTCTTTTCCACCAGTTTGAAAACTTGTCCAAACCGTCCCCTGTTAAAAGTTAACAATTGCGTCCCACTGTGCATTAATGCCCATTACTAAAAATATGGCACACACAAGTTATACTGCATATACCGAAATAATGCGATGGTTATAAGTGTTTTTGAATAAGTAAAAACGTTGTTTCGGAAAAAAAAAAGAATAAAACTTACGTCCCGAGGCGTTCTTTGACATCATAGATATCGTTTAATTTCTTGTTTGGATTGATTGAAACGTGTCCGTAATCACGAGTTTCATTTTCCTTTTCATCTAGAAAAAGAATAACTCATTATAGTATAAATTATTGCATTATATCAATCATGTATGTAAGGAACAACTGATGCATTAGGCCAAAAAAAGTGTTCATACGAACCATCGTCTGAAAACTCCTCTTCTGCTTTAACTGCTATAAAAACACAACCATACCAAAATATATTATTATATTGAATTGTTTTAATGCATCAATCCACCATGCATCTATCCACCATGCATCTGTATTTAAACTCCCCTGTGATCCCATTGGCACAGTGACAATTTTTTAATGGAGGCCTGGTTTAGGCAAAAAATATTTTTTACAATGTAGAAGATTCAGCGCAAAAACTTTAATTATTCTGTATCGGTAAAAGTGCATCCCTGCAATTGCTTGCTCACAGCACTGATGGTAGAAGGGCCTCCGCTAGTGAGTATTTTGGCCTACTCTTACATGCTGGACAGACATCTTGGAAGAGGTGGGAGTAAACACATCGTACCCTACCACGTGACCTACCAACTGATTAACTGTAGCATACCCATATATACAACTGCCGCGCCTAGAGATTAAACCGGCGGCCTCTGGATTGCAAGTTCAGTGTGTTAACCATTATGCTATGGCAACATCCTATTAGCGTATAACCTTTGGTTATATAAAATGTACGTATAAGCTCACGAGGGAGAACAAAAAAAGGCGAAATTTGGAAAACGTATAATCACTGCTAGATCGTAACTGCTTAAATTGTTACTCAAATAAGCATTCATTTGGCGATGAGGTTAGAAAATGGGGTTGCACCATTGACGATGCCCGGTGAGACGAGCGGTGACTCCTGGCTGGGCTCGCTGATGCCGTAGATGTTGGCGGCACGCACGCGGAACTTGTATTGCTTCTGCGGGTCGAGGCCCTGCACGCTGTACGAGGTGCTGTGGCACGTGGAGGTCAGCTCCTTCCACCGGCTCTCCCCCTCGCCCTGCACCTCCACCGTGTATGACTGCACGAGACTGCCCCCGTCGTAGGTGGGGCCGTACCACGACAGCGTCAGTGAGTTCTCCCTGATGTCCGAGGCGCACGGTTGGCCCGCGGGAGGCTCTGGTTTATCTGCGGCAGCGACGGGAAGGTTACGTTAGCTCAGGGGTCGGCAACCAAAATAACAAGACGAGCTATTATTTTATAATTCGGTAAAAATTACTCAATATTTCAGAGCCGCAATGCATGTGAATACGAGACGGTCCTTCATAAATAACGTCGCGATACGGTCCTTAAAGATCCGCAGGTTGCCAACCCCTGCGTGAGTTGAATTTCGGTGGTGGTGTAATCCAGTTGCTGCTTTCGAGGTGGGATTGGTGGATTCCAAAGATTTGGTCGTGTGCCTGGCTGAAATATGAGGTGGCCGCTAAAAGGAAAAGGGGTGTCAATTTGTCTGCTCAGACGTTTGAGCGTTAGCCTATTGATGTGCAAACTTTTCTCTGTGTACTCTGGCTCCCTCCATCATGTGAAAAACATGTGAAGCAATTGGTCAAATGGCCAAATTTACGGCCCCCCTGAAATGAGGTGTTTAGATTCAGTGGGACCTTCCCGATAAATGAAACGCATTTGTTATTTTAAAATTTTCCTGGATGGTTTGAGGTTTGGGTCTTTGATCTTATGATAAACTTGAACCATGCCACTGTACTTCACACACAAATTATTCAGGGCCAGCAGTAAACCATGTCCTTCATTTACAGCACATTACCACTAACGTGCATCATTTACTGCAGCAGTGCACTTCAGAGCGATGCTCAGAACAGAGCCATATATGGCCCATGACGCACGGAGTGGAGAGCTTTGGTTTCTCGTATATAGTCGCTGCTTTTAGTATAATTACATGTAAAAGCTACATTTAAAGGTTCAAAAACGCTCACTTCATAAGCTGCACCAAAATTTGATTTGGCTCTTCATATGTATCATATGAACGTGCAATAGTTGGTGTTTGTGCAATTGCTATCGTGGCTACAAAGAATGACACTCACTGTTGCTGTCAGTTTGTTACAAAGTGTAAATAATATGCACAAACCCACTAGAGCATCTGCAAATGTTTACACGTCCATTATATTTCATGAGCAGGAGCATGAGCAGGAGCTTTCACAGCCTACTAAGGAAAATATATATTGTTTTTCACGTCATGCTTTTCCTAATATGGCCTTCGGTTAACAAAGTGATCTACATTCTTGCACTAAAAGCTCACGGGTTATGGACACAGATTATTTTTAGAAGAAATACCAGTTTATGTCTGTACAAGTGAAACGGTGGCACACACAAGAAGTGGAATAACAGGAATAATTTGCGTTTGTTGTATTAAATTCTATAACTATGGCATCAATTTAAAATACAGCTGCCAACAATTATATTGTTACAAGCACACCTTTCGTCAACAAACACGGGCGTTCGTGCGATGCACACGCGGAGGTGTTCGTGGTGTGATGGCAGTGCTAGCCTATTGCTGACCTAAGCAAAATGACCTTGGGACGCATCACGTGACTACAAACACTATGTAACTTAATGATATCACAGTTGTGTGAAATTATTACGTGAATAGACCAATTATAATTCATATCAGTTTAAACTGTTTTTAAAAGCACAAGCTTTTCATTGTTCTTACGAAATTACTTTTGAGCTAATCTTTGCTTGCACCCATATTTTTTTTATGAATCTGTGTTTCTTGAACTACTCGGGGTGGAGGGGAGGGTCCTGAACTTTCCCGAAGCTCGCGTACACCGAGCGCGACCACAGGGCAGCTGTGCACCACTTCCTACCGACGATAGTGACCCCGACGAGCGCCTGGGTGCTCCCATGCTTGTTCTCCAGCACCAGCGTGTAGCACCCGCAGTCGTTGTGCTGGGACGAGGAAATGGTGAGCCTGCTGCTCGCGTCTTTCGTCTCGATCTTGAGCCGCCCACCCGCAGCAATCTGGCGTGCAAAAACGTTGGATTGCATCACGTCAGCCAGCACTGCGGAAGTTTTCCTTTTTTTTTAAAAAAGGCTACGTACGGAGAGGGTCACACTTCTATGAGTGGTTGTAAAGCAATAAAAGTTTAATGAAAAAAAATATGAAATCCACCAAAGGATGAGGGCTTCACCGCGGGCACATCGGTTTGACCGACCACACTTCACCACGCCGGTCATAGGAAGGTTTGGCGAAATGTTAATCATGTTGAATAAACATTTCAAATGCTCAGAGAAGGATGGAGAAGTGTTCAGATTACTTGGTGGTGCAGTCAGTCGTGGAAACATTATCATTCCTATGGCGAGGGGCTGTTTTATTGAGAGGGCAACCATTGCTGATTTCCCACAAAGCAGTGTTTTATGGCCACAAGGCTGTGGCGCTCACAGAGGACCATGAGTAAAGTGTTCGGCCACGGCAATATCTGGCCAGGTGCAGTATTCTGGCCGGGTACAGAGTTTCAATCAACAACTTATTATTTTACGGAGTTTTAACATCCATTGAAGACCTCACCTCCTTTTTGAACCTCAGCCAAGAAGCCTTGATGGGCGGCGTGCCTTCAAAGGAGCACATTAAATCCACCATCTCACCAGCTCGAACCTTCATATCTTCAGGGAAGCGTGTGATCTGGGGTGCACACGCTGTAGACTGCTTTGCATCTACACAGATTGAAACTCAACATTACACATCCACATAACAGCCTGTGTATGATTAATAATTTAGAATATGCATGAATAAGGCTTGCTGTCTCTTCGAATACATAGAACATATACAATACCTGGTTTAGCAGAAATCTTCGGAGTGGGTTTCTTTTTCGGAATGACTGGTCCTGATGAACATTAAAGAAAACATTGCAATGTAAGCTTGTAACATTGTAGATTCATGATTTAGTTTTAAACTGAAATCTAAAACAAATTAATCCAAATACACAATTTAATCGAAGCTTTGTGCATAGAGGGGCCTGTGACAGTGCCGTTGCACATCAACAACAACAACGACAACAACAACAACAATGTGACACAAAATGAATGTTTGTGGCCAGCTTGGTGGTCCTGCTTCCGCAAACCTCTGCCGCTAACCACCAGGATCGCGTGGTATGTCCTGACGGCTCAGAAGGAGCTGCACAAACACCTAGGAAGTGGAGAGTTCTGTGGGGTAATTTATCTGTCAGCAATTAAATAACTCGCCTGCCTTTCATCACCGCAAATTGCAGTCTGCCTTTATAAACAGTTTAAAGTTGCGGTTCTCTATTCGACAAAACACTCCAGAGAAATGGGAAACTGAGAATGTATTCGCAATGTAAAATTATGAATTAAGTTACAAAAGGAATAACGTTGTAAAATAGATGTCCATATTTATTCAAATGAGCGATGCAACGATTTCACTTACCATCATTTTCGACTGCACTGACTTGAGTTTTGGGTTCGTTGGTTTTTAGTTTTGATATTGTTGGCTTGACTAAACATGCTGGATCTGTACAATGAAATAATAATCATTATATAATTATTTAAGGTAAACATTTTTGCTAATTTTATGGCATAACGTAACACACAAAGGAAACATTTTGCATTTAACTGGATATGAACACCATTTGAAATAAATGACAACTTGCATGTACGTATACAATAAATATATTTTTTAAATGTAAATAACAAAAATCACTCATACTTTGGACATCACTTAAAAGGTAAGATGATATCTAAAACAGGAGCCACGGACATGACTCAACAAATCACTTTCTGAAGTGGACATCGACCAGAGTATAAATATATATATCTTCGTTTGTCCATTCCATATCCAGTAGAACAAGCAATTACATCCCCGAGTGGCATCTGGTTGAAAAATGAACAACCTGAACAACGATCACGAATAGCTACAGTTTTACCATCTATGTAGACCATGGCCGATGTCTGTGCTTTTCCAGCTCGGTTTTCGACTGAGCATGTGTACTTTCCCTCATCCTCAGGAAGGACCTCTTCAATCGTCAAAGAGCAAAGGTCACCTACAAAAACAAACCCGTACAATTGTTGTTTAAAATGTGGCATTGGCATTCATGAGCCTCAAAATTACAAATAAGCACATACTCTTCGTGAACATCTAAAACACACAGCAAGGCTTCGGGAAACAAACGCAAAGCAGGGCGTATGGCGAGCCGTACCTTTCTGAGTGATCATGATGTACTTGGAGGGTTTCAGGACTTTTCCATCGACGCTCCACGTCTCGACGAGGGGAGGCCGCCCCGACACGCGGCACTGCAGCTGGAGGCGCTCGCCGTCCAGCACCCGTGTCACGCGCAGCGGCTCCGTGAACACGGGCAGCGCCTGCTCGTCGCCGCCACTGCCGCCACCGCCACCCCCCCGGGAGATCCCACCGGGGGACACGGTCTCGCAGCACCCGTTGGAACCCTTCGTACAGCCCTTAGAAGATGCCATCCCTCCTCCTCCGCTGCCTGCAGACTCCGTCAAGCAGCGAGCCGAGGCCGGGCGACTCTGGCAGCGGGGGCCGTCCTGCGCGTCGCACTCCGTTGGGCAGTGCTGTGGATCCGACTCGGAGCAGAGGCTGCTGCTCCCACAGCCAGAGAAGCAACCGGGGTGAGACGACTCCGACGAACACTGCTCTGTCTCTTGCTCGGGTGGATCACCGCAATCCTGTAGGTGTATCCGGCGAAAACTTGGTTGCTTGGGTTTTGGCGCCGGAGGTGGTGGCTTACGCGATGGGGCTTTCTTGCAGGCCAATGTTGCTCGGAAATCCACTTGTTCAGCCTCGCGTTCCTTTATCTCTTCTTCACACAGGGATTTTGTCTTTACTCGTCGCGAAAGGTTTCCACGGAAGTCCAGCTGCTCAGCCTCTCTTTGTTGGCTCTCTTCTTCGGACGAGTGCTTGGTAGAGCCCGATTTCTTGGCCGCACCACTGAGGACGCTACGGAAGTCTTTCTGCTCCGCCTCCTGCTGTTTCTGTACCTCCTCCAAGCGCTCCTTTGTTTGGACCTTACGGCGCAGAACACCTCGGAAGTCTGTCTGATCGGGCTCGGATCCCTTGCATTCCCACTGCTGTTCAGGGTTTTCTCCACTCGGGCTGCAGCTCTGCCTAACGTTTGTGCTGGAGCAAAGGCTCTCCGAGTCTCTTCCCCTACAAGGCAAAACGAGTTTTGATCACACAGTTGAATTGCTGGCCTGTGAACTGGAGCCAGCTGGCTGCACTCCCAAGTGACGTTTGTTTAAATGAATAAAGCCAGACACTGGGAAAGAGGCAGCGAACTTGAATTTGCATCGGTTACCGGTGACTGCTAAGAGCCCTTTTTGAAATGTAACCACGCCGCATGAAAGCGCACATCTCAAGTGTGTTTGAATTTTTGTCAGCATCAAGCATTACTTTTAATTGATATCACACTTACCACCTTTGGTGTACGGAGCCAGGGCCTCCACCCTCCTTTACCACCAGCGATACTGTGCAGTTTGACGAGCCAACAGTGTTTCTGTGAAGAGCAAAAAACACATGTAAATTAATATCGCAATTTATCATTCAACTCTACATTTATTTCAAAATAAAATGACCTACCCGAGCATGTACAAACACAGGTTTTAACTGTGTGCAGGTTTAATCAATTAAGCAGAAAGTGGAACTAACTCAGAATGACAATCTCAAAATAAGTCATGACAGCTTATTAGCTCTCAATGGATAGTGATCCATGAAGCGACCTCCCAGTTGGCTTGTGTGCCCTCCACAAAACTGTGGGAAAGAGGAAAGTGCCCCGCTCTCGCATTCTCTCTGCCCAAACCTGCGTCATCGGCAGGGGAGAGTTGCACCGCCCCAAGACCCTGAGCTACATGTGATTATATGTAGAACCAACTTTACAGTTACCCTCAGGGGCTTCGTTTTCAGCGCTAGAGAATGTCCAGAGTTTATCTTTCCATCAAGTATAGAGGGGAAAACTGGTGGTGGTGTATTTGTCCCGTTACTAAATAAAGCTCGGAAGGGCACTGTTTTTGTTTCAAATATTTTCCAGAAAAACAGGACAGATAATAACTTTAATTGGGGCATTACGGGCGAAGACATTGCAGGTAATTTAATCTCACTAGTGAATTGGTCCCCTTGGGCCACCAACAGTATGCTCACGCACTAAACGCCGATTTTTATGGCAAACCCTGCATGTTTTCCAAAACTGATGATATTTTTACAAACTCCGTCCATAGGTGGCCAAATTCTTGAAATATTTCATCGGGTGTAAGAGGCAGTGTACAGTTGCCGTTTATTGCAGCTGGTTGCTCTAAATTGACCTTGTAAATTAATGAGTCCAAACTCAGAATTCATAAGTATAATTCTAAAACTATAATTATGCTATTAATAAACACATGTTTCATCCTTGCAGCAAGATTTATTTTTGTGTTGCGAGAAGAGCACCACTTATGTAAGGAAATGTCAAACTGATAAAAAAAGTCATTCACAGGTATAACAGGTCATTTACATTTCAGGAATTGTTTTACCTTTCAGAAATGTCCATTAGCAGAGAACGATAAAATATCACATCTTTGCTTCTCACTGAGCAAGGAACCTCTTCAGTTGATTTCCCCGAACGGGAACGAATGATAATACAAAACCTCTCCTTGACCATTAATCACTGCATAAATTAGATAAGGGGTGGAAGAGTGGTGCAGTTATTACCACACTGCGGTATGAACCCAGTGACCTGATTTTGATTCCTGGCCACGGCGAACATCATTGGCCAAAGTTGGTGAAGTATGGTCAAACAACCCCCATGTTCCAACACGGCGGATTGACAAAGTGCTAAACATTATTATTTGTATTGCTTTAAATTTGGAAAATGTGTTAAAGCACATACACGTGCTGTTAAAGCTTCCTTAGTATTGTTTCCCACTACAAAAAGAGTTGCGAGCCAATGGAATATGTTTGGTATTTTTAATCTGCTTCACCTTTGCCACTTGTAAATTGCACCACTGCCCATTGTCTCTAAACTCTGAAGGAGCTCGGCATCGCCCATGAGCATAGAGCCCATTCGACCTTTACTTGACTCACTTTTTTCATTGTAAAGTAATAATATTGCTATTATCCTTAACTAACAAGCCGAAAGTAAATTTAAAAAAAGACCTGTACCTGTACAAACGCAACTGATAAAATGACAGCAACAATTATTAAAACGAAATAACTATAAAATAACACATATTGCAAGACATAAGACACTATAAGATTAATTTAAAATTAAACAATGACTTAATATTAAATGAATTTGACAGCGGCAATATCAAGTGTTCATATATACATCAGTCCGAATGAAAGACAAATCCCCATGTGTAAACATTAGACCAGCGCTGAAAGCTGACATGCATATTATTATTTCTCGCTGTAATACTGTGACAATGTCATTCCATGTAGGAGGAGCATGCACAGCCCGTTTGTCAATCCACTGCTGGATAAGGGCCTCCACATGCTAAACAGGCGGTGAGGGTTATATGACCATATTTCACCACGCTGGTCAGTGCGGGTTGGTTAACATGTGGAGGGATTGCACAATAAATGGGTTTTGCTGGACTGCCCCATGTTGTTCACAATGCCTACTACACCTGTTGTTACGATTGATGGTTGCCCATCCAATCACTGTCCAGGCGAGGCACCGATTAGCCTCCGAGGTCTGACTGGATCAGGTGCATTTTGGATAATTTATTAAAAGTGTATGAGGAGCATTATACGCAAAAGACAGTTCACCTAATTTTTTATAAGTATTTGCAAGACGGCGAAGAAATGTGGAGGCACATCACTATCTTTTGAGGCTTTGCCCTTCGAGTTCATAAATGGTAACACGTGAGCAGACACTATTGAGATAAATCTTCACCTAAGTCTGTCAGAGACGAAAGAAAAACCACCAAAGGGCAACGCGTGCTGAATTTTTTTCGCACCGTACGTAGCCAACCGTGCTAATCGGAGGTGCGCGTTTACAAACGGCGCCTCACGGAGCGGTTTCACACACGAGGGAGAGGGACTCGTACTGGATCCTGACTTCGTAGAGCCCCGTGTGCTCGGGGCACACGTTGTGCATGACCACGGAGAAGACGTCGCCATGCCGCTGCAGAACGGTGTCGCCTCCCGTCGACAGCAGTCGCCCGTCCCTGTGCCAGGAGACGGAGGGGAAAGGGTCGCCGGCGACGGCGCACGACAGCAGAGCGCTTTGCCCCGGCGCCGCCTCGGCCGGCCGAGGCTTGCTGATGAACCAGGGCTGCACGCCATCCTGGGGCTCTGTAAACAGTGCAGCAGCAACAGCAGCGGCGGTGGAGGGTTCACGACAGCCGGTGATGCATGGGGGTCAAAGGCAGGTTAGATCAGATTAGTGAGATGTTATAAACACGACCAAAGCGTATTTATTTTTATGTTTTGTGGAGATCGTGACCTTAATTGGATTAACGGTACGGGACCCTATTCATAACACTGCTGAATATCTTTTTCCAGTTGTTGGCACCAAAGAATGTGACATTTATACAATGTATGTGGCCGTCTTCCTTTAAACCAATATCAATGTTAACTGCGCCATTATACACGTGTTGAAAATACCGCGAGTCAAGTATTGCAGTATATGCATTCCACAGGAACATTCTAAACTGCTGCGCGTAGAACACAAGCAAGCACATGAATGGTGTGTAAATGTTAATACGATAAAAATAGAATATTGAGATGGTATACGTACACATTATAATATTCTGGATTCTGTGCATTAATGTTATAGTATCGCCAGTTTAAATAAAGAGGCCCTATTTGCTTTAACGACTAGCCCCATACACATATATGTAAACACTGGAAGCTGCTGTAGTGTAATGGTTAGCACACTGGTACAATCTAGAGGTTGTCAGTTTTCAATTGGATCTCCTGCTAGAGGAGGTCTTTCCACCAGTTGGGGACATGAGCACGCAATTGCAGGGCTGCATCTTGACCAAATAATCTTCACCCACACAAAGTTATCGTCGTGATGCAAATCATACACCAAGTAAAGCCTTGCCGAAACTTGGGAATCTTTCAAAGGGTCCTGGAATATTTGGAATGTTTGGCCAATGTCACGAATGAGTATTTCGCAAGTGGAAGGACACAAAAGTACCCACAGAAGACCCATAAACACGAGGGCATAATGCTTCAATATATGCGACTATCGCCATATGAGGGAGTTACACTCCTCCAGGCTGCCATCTCTGAGCCATCTCACAACACAAACCTGCTTAGCTTCACAACGCTGACAAGGTTGAGTGTATTTGAAAGTGATTTGGTCTCATCTACTGGTTATGAAATGCGTAACTACAGCGTCAGTGGCAAATTTGACATTTTGAGAACAAAGGGCCCTAAACTATGCACTGGCTTCCATTAATTTTTTATTAGCCACAGTTATTTCATCATATCGTGCTACTCTAGTCTGAGTTGAATTAGCACGAGGTATGTTTTTAATTTGTATATAGCTCTCAACTCGTTTTGTTTGCCTCGTGTTTGTGTGTGTACATCATAAAATAACAAAGCAGACATTTCAGCTGTTTTGGTGTCTTTGTGAGTGGTGTCTTTTATTGTGAGTGTGAATGCACGCGGTGGGGGGGTGCAGTGGCTCCCGGGCACCCATACAAACCCAAAAATCCGAGTTCAATTCCTGAAAACGGCTCATCACTTGCTGAGTGATATCTAGACTGGTCCTGGGCACTCCCCTTCACCGAGGTGGTGAAGAATAGAGATGTAAGGAGGCCTTCATCCAGCAGTGGATTGACAGAGGGCTGTACATTACCATATATTACAATGAACAGCCATCGTATTTCTCACCAAGTAAGTGTTGCTTGTGCGTTGTTGTTGTCGTTTTTGAAGGGCCCGGATGAACCATAAAAAAAATCAGACGTGCATCACTGCGCTTTATCCAAACGTACAGCCTGGCATATTTGTGTCATAGCTAAAGATTTGTTGATTTAAAACGTTGTGTTCAGAGTTAGTGGCAAACTCATGGATTTGGAATCATTAACAATCTCCAAAACTAATTTCAATATCGATGATTAATGCCTTCCTTCCCACAGCAGCAATCTTATCAGCTTGATCACATTTTGGTGAAAGCTGCACGATTAATAACAGCTCTTTGCCAAACTACTGCTGGATGCAGGCCTCCCCATGCCATGTTCCTCAAAAGGGTCGTTTGACCATACTTCATCACGCTGGTCAGTGTGGGTTGCCAAAGGGAGAGCGAGGACTCATGACCAGTTGAGCTATAACTAAAAAATAATAGTGATACAATCCTGCACGAATAAGTGACATGGTTGAGATCCACAGTTCACAGGAAGTTCATCATTCACACTTACATTTTGGTGATATACATTTTACAACTAATTTGAATGGCTTGCAGGTTTCCCCACGTCTGACCCATCTGGATTATTTCTTACTGGAAGGTCATATGTGCTTGATGGGTGCTCGGAGTCTTACCCTGCACGGTGAGCAGGGCCTGGCTCTGAGCCTGCCCAGCCTCGTTCCAGGCTTCACACGTGTAGCAGCCTGTGTCCTCTGGAAAGACCTCCTGAATGTGCAGGGTGTGTTCGTCATCCTTGCTTTCCAACACAAAGTCCTCCGACTCCTTGATTTCATTTCCATTGTGCAGCCAAACTATCTCTGCTGGAGGAATTGCTGAAATGACACGTACGAAAATACATAATTAAACCTCCTCGTGTCAGGACGTACAGCAGGAATAATTAGCACGTAGGTTTTTCACAGACACCCGTAATTCGAGTGCGGTTTTCCATGTTGGGCCGCGGTTTGAGCATAACGTCTCTCAAACGTTCGTCACAAGTCACTGAGGGCATCTTCAACTCAATCAATACGCACTCCTGCGGGCATCCGCAACCCCTGAAGATGTCTGCAGGAGTGCGTGGTGAAGGCTTGAGAGAATATGTGCCAAAAACCCGGCCTATCCTGGAAGACCACACTTGCATAAAGGAGGATGACATGTTAGGATGTGCATTTTAAAAAATTAACACTCACGGCCAACATCAGTTGCGATTATTTGAACCAGTCCTGGGCCTCCTCTAGGTCGACTCAGCCTCAAATGAGTACCTGTTGCTGTGTATAAACATTGCCACCAGGGAGACAAAGGCGACCTCTAACAGCAATTGTCCCAACAGTCTGTCCAGGCTATACGAGGGGGGGGGGGGGGGTATTTATGTCTTTGTTGTTGTTTGTGTCGTGGTGAACGAGGAATTGGAATTGTACCTGCAACTTTGACAGTGAGATGGACCTCGCTGCCGTCCATCACTTGCAGGTCACAAAGTCCCTTCACAAACACGGGAGGCGACTGCTTGACCGCCGGCTTTTCCTCGTTCCTGCGGCTCGTCCTCCTCCGTGGCTCTACAAGGACACCGTGGACATAAAACAAATGGGTTTGTTTGTGTGTGTAGATGCGTGATGGGTTCGCAGGGGTGTGTAAACATCGCCACCAGGGAGACAAAGGCAGTCGGGCGTGGTGCTGGCCACCCACCCCCTTCGTGTACCGTGCCAGTCGTCATAGGTGCTCGCAAACAGCACTTGCCCCAACAGTCTGTTAAAGGCTCTTGGCAACGCAATCTATTCCAGTTTTTACTTAACGTTATTATACGCACCCACAAATATTTATTGTAACATTTTCCGTGTAAAATATTCATCTTCCAAAAGTAGCATAACAGCTAATGTCCTTTCATTCACATCTGATACAAACTCAAACTTTATTGCCCAAAATGCATTTTTGGGCACTGTTACATTTTGGCGAGTACAAACGTATGAGTTATGCCAAGCATCAAATGAATGGTCAACTGTCTTACCTTTCCGTTGCAGGCATGGCAAACGAGTGGATTTTTCCTCATTGTCACTCACGTGGACCACAAAACTGCAGGCCATTAACGAGAGCTGTTCTTTCCCAAACATTTACACCAGGGCTATTTTTGTTTACGAAAAAAACAACCTCGTGACGTGGAAAACTCACATCCTTTAATGGCTGAATCTATCCAACCTGCCAAAGTCAGTGCTGTTTGCAGCTTGTGTCTTGGCCTCGATACGCCGGTTACTGTACTAATCAGCTTCCATTTATGGTTAATCCAGGCCCAGAATGCAACCAACTGGACACATGTTTTTTTTTTGCCTCACAAAGCACAATCCTATTAACAGCAATCATCTACAAGACTAGACGCCTAATGGAAGTCGATTGAATCACGTGGATCAGTACAAGCTGCGTATGCATTTGAATCTGTCGGGTTCATTACCTCGGACTGTCACTGTGGCACTGCAATAGGCCTTTCCAAGGTGGTTCTCAGCTAGACACGAATACACGCCCCCGTCGTCCACGCCAGCAGCTCCGACATAAAGAGTGCAGTATCCATCACGGCAAGACATTACTGCACTGTTGACAGGCTTGTCTGCAACAATGGCAAAAGCAACAACAACCCTTGTTATGTTCATACGGCGAATGTGCATTGATTTTGATGAAAGGGGTAATTGAATGTGTTGTTTGGATCTGCAGTAAGGTCTGACCATCTTTTAACCAAGTCACCGAAGGTTCTGGCTTCCCCAACACGTGGCACTCCAGAGTGAATTCCTGTTGCTCTTCAACAGCACATGCCACCAACGGGGCAGAGAAACCGGGCGCCTGGTCTGCGTCTGTCACACCAGCCAACGAAGAGCCACGGTTTTAAGTAATCGTAAACCTGTCTGTATAAAATACCGTCACAAAAACAACCACTAAATGCATTAACGGCGAGGCCTTTCCTGAAACCCGATCTGTATTTTTTTACATGACAACAGATTCACTGATAATTTATTGACTTTGAAAGATGGATTTATAAATATTTCTATTATTATCGAAGAAGTTCACGTGTGTGCATCTCACCTTTGACAATGAGTGTGAAGGTGGCCTTTGTTGCCTTCCCGTCACTGTTTTTAGCTGTGCAGGCATAGGCGCCTCCATCGTATTTCTGCACATCGAAGATGACCAACTGATGGCCACCTTGGTTCTCCTCGACCTCCCACCTCTCGCTTGTTTTTATTACGACGCCATCCTTTGACCACTCTACAGCTGGCTTTGGGATTCCTGACACTGCATGGGGGTTAGAGAATACACAGCTTCAACTATGCACTTTTAAAAGTGGACTGACCACACTTCCCTAAAAGTGGGAATGTTTCTATAACATGAATTCAACTATTGGCTAATTATTGCACAGATAATAGGAAAAGTGATATCCAAAAAAAACACAATTACGGTATTTATCAAAAACAAATAAAGCTTGCACGCTACTGCAGTAAAGTAAACATGCCATGTGCGAGAAGGGTAAGCAAGTGTGGCTCGCCTCTGCAGCTGAATGCGACTTCGTGACCCTGTGTGACCTCGCGGGACTGTGGAGGATGAGTGAACACCGGGCCTATGCTGTTTTCTTTCTTAGACTCTTCCCTCAAGGCCATTCCTGTCATCGTCATCTCTGCCGGGGCGTTTTTGTTTGCCACATCTTTTGGGGCGACATATTTGGACTCCACCCTCTTTCTCTCAAGTGGCTTCTGTTCAACTTCTTTATGCACGGCAACCTTTCTCTCAGCGTCCTTCTGTGTCATCGTAAGTGTTGGCAACTTCTTAGATGCTGCTTCGTTTCTCTCAAAAAGCCCCGTGGGCGGTGGCTCCGTTGTCTCTGTCGCTACTGCCACCACGGCGCCTCTTCCCATTTCTTTTGACACTGTTGACTTCACATCTACCCCTGATAGCCCTGCCGGGTTGACCTGTGGCAGATCAGCAGCAACACCTTCATTTCCACCGCTCTCTTTCCTCCTCACCACATCCGGTATTGATGCTTTTGTCTCTGTCTCTTTCACAGCCAGAGATTTTATCTGTATTTTCTGGAAGGCTGATTTCCTCTCAGCTGGCTGTGCGGGTAACTCAGTTTTCTGCAACACAATGGACGCTGGTTTAATTTTGTCTGCACTCCTTAACAGTTGCTCATTTGTCATCTTCATTTCCATTGCAGCAGATGGCGTTTTGTTGGATTCCATTGGTGCTGCCTCTCTCCTCTCTACCACCTCTTGGGTGACAACTTTCATCGTTTGTTTCTTGGATTCAGCCTCTTCTGTGTTGATCTCTTTCTTATTTGTCACCTGAAGAGTCAACCTAGAAAATATATATTCAAGATATACCATGTGTTTAACATTTTCGTAGCCATGTTTTGGCGTATAACAACTCTTCCTGATGACAAACGCTTGTGTTGCGATTGAAACATTAGAGTTTTTTGTGATTTAGTATTATTTTCTATGAAAGACCCAAATAATATAATTGTATTCCACTTAATGTACGTGACAAATGTCACAACCTACTACAAAACAAATATAAAAGAGCAATTGTAAATCATTCTATATCATGTTTGACACGTATAAGCAGATATTGCCAAATAATTTCTACAATATTTTGAGTGGTTCCCAACTTTAATAAAAAAAAGAAATTCGAACATGCAACCCACTTTAAATAAAATCCATAAAAGAATCAGCACTTACTCAGTGGATGATTTTTGAACATTCAAATGAGGTTTCAAAACAGATGGAGGCTCTGAAAACAATATAAAGCTGCTTTACAAACAATACACTATAATGAAGTATTACAATATGCACTTAATTATGTGTGATATAAGATATTATACATTATGAAAATGCCAAACAAAATAAATAATTCACATAACTCTGCAAAACCATTATAAATAAAGGACAAACTAAAATTGCGGAACAAAACACAACATTTTTAAATGTCTTAACAAGCAATGGGAGCATGAAAGCATTACAAATGAAGTTGATGATGGGCAAATAACAATGGGTTGTAGCCTTGAGACAAGAAGATGGATCCATAAGAAATTCATGAAACACAATCATTAATCTAGTTAAGGAAAACTATGCAAATATCTACAGCGAACAAAATCGAATAATCATATACCCCGAAAAACAAATCACAATTGAACACATAAGGATGATGCTCCCAATGTTCAATGTGAAAAAGTAACCACTGCCTTATATCACACAAATCAAGGAAAGCTCATCGGCCAGACCAGCGGTCGGGAACCTATGGCTCGCGAGCCATATATGGCTCTTCCGGTGACGGCATATGGCTCCCAGACAATTTTGAGTTGAAAAAAAAAATCAGTTTGGAACTGATTTTAAAATACTTGTGATATTGCTTAATAATACTGTGTCATTTTAAAGTAAACAGAAATTAGTTTTGAAGATAAATTTCACGGGTCACGGGTCCCGTGACCAGAAGTCGCATTAAAAGTAAGACATATTTAATTTATTATACGTTAAAAATACTATATGGCTCTCAATGAAAGATATTTAGAAATATTTGGCTTTTATGGCTCTCCCAGTCAAAAAGGTTCCCGACGCCTGGGCCAGACTAATAACTGTGGACATCAAAGAAGTGAGACCAAAATGATTGAGCATCATCATCACCAGCCATGGTCAATCGAGTGCTGGATGAAGACCTCCCAAAGCTGCCACCATCTCTCACAATCCCACAATATAATGATCCACCTAGGGTCTGGACACCAGATGATTCCATCATTCCATCTTCTCAGAGAACATCATTTTGAAGGTTTTCCATTCTTTGGCTGCCACCCCATTATAATTCTTGACCATTGGCCATCATCTGTTCGAACAACGTGTCCCACATGAGCCTACTTGTGTTTTATAACACTTTGAATAAGACCATTAACCTACGTGTGTTCTCAAATCCACGTGTTCATCTCCATGTCTCTCAGTGCAATTTAAAATATGCTTCTCATCATGTTTATTCGCGCAATGAGAGATGGAGTGATAAGAGCTAATGTGCAAGAGTGAGGTGATGAGATACAGGGATGATGTGGGAGGCCATCATTCAGCAGCTTAAAGATCATGACGAATTAAACACACTTTAAATTCCAAAGTAGAAAAATATTTTTAAACATTCTAATGACAATTATAATCCCATGAAAGCCTCACTGAGTTTCAATATTCTTTTTCGGTAGGATCCTGCATTGGGATGCTTTTCCATTACCATTTATGAATGATTTGAGAACCCTAAGAAAACCTGTAAATATGACGGAAAACACTCAACCCACTCTGTACTTAAATAAGCCAGCCTTCATCTGAAACACCGTGCATGCACATGAAATACGGCAACATACATGTTAAGAGTAATCTAAATAAGCAGTTATTATTGGATAAAACCTTACCATTAGAAATTTGAACGATCAGTTCAGCCGATGCACTTGCTTTCCCAGCTGAGTTTGTGATGGTGCACGTGTACACACCCGAGTCTTCCTCTTTCACGTCCAAGACCTCCAGAAAGTGTAAACTTGACTTCTCGTAAACCTTGAAATGCCCATCACTGTGCAGCTCTGTGTCTCCCTAGGCACAATCATAGACATGCCATTTTTAGAGCTGACGTTTGAGCAAGCAATGGAGTTACCCTATGCTAATTGCACAATGACAATCCTTGCAAGGATAATTTCGACATATCAAATGAGCAAGGCATAAGGGGAGAGGGGGAGCAAGGGAGTAGTGGCCAGTACGTTGCCCTCTGAACCTGTCCACATGTTTGATTCCAAGCCATGGCTAACATCACGCTGACCAGTGGTGAGGTTTTTTTCAGAGAACCTCCATGAATAAATAGTATGGGGACGCCTTCATCCAGCAGTTGATTTTCAAAGGGCTGTAAAGAATGACTACTGAATCATTCTTTAAGAAACAAGGGATAAGCAAATGCATTTAAGGCGACCGCACACCTTTCTCCAGGTGACTTGGGGCTGTGGTCGTCCAGTGATTTTGCAGTTGAATTTTCCACCCTGTCCCTCTCGCACTACAGCCCTTGAGGGCTTGTTGACAAACTTCGGAGGGCTTTCTCCCCATATACTTGGCCTGCTCTCCACCGGTGGAATTGGAAATCTGTCAGGATGACGGAACAAAGACGTACATTGACAAAGACACCTCTGGGTAAAGTGTCATACATTTCTCACTTTCAAACAATTATATTTGCAACATAGAAATATGCGTTTTGGTCAGTTTCCCTTTTTACCACTCGCTGAAATGGTGCCACGCATCAGGTACCTGGATAACTTGGCACTGGCCACGAGGGATTTTTTTTCTGCATCACAACCTGGAGGAAGAAGAAAAACATCCAAAAGTAGATATGCAGCGTCGATGATGAATCGATGAATCGTTAATTTCGTTTTGATAATTGGAGGATTTCAATAAGTGCACGTCACACGCACACAAACCTATACAAAGACAAAATCCCCCGTATAGCCTTACCAGACTATTGAGGCAAGTGCTGTTAGCGAGCACCTACGAAGGCTGACAAGGAACACGAGGGGGGGTGCATGACAAACACTACACCCAGCCGCCTTTTTCTCCTAAGTGGCGATGTTTACACACCATACCAGGTACTCATATGAGGCTGAGCTGACCGAGGAGAGGCCCAGGACCGGTTCAGAGAATCCTCACTGGTGTTGGCGGTGAGCGGGAATCGACCTCGGGTTGCCGGGTCCGTAACGCGGCTCGCTAACCGTAGTGTTCCCACTCCCCACGTCACCACACAGAACACACGAACCCGGACAAGCTGCAGTGCTCTCGTCACGTCGCGTCAAACGCCGATCGTTGCGTCAAATGCTGAACGTCACCTTCCACTTTGAGCTCCACCGTGATCTGCCTCGTCCCGGCCTCATTCCTCGCTTCGCACAGGTACTTGCCGGAGTCGTCCTCCCCGAGGCCCACAACCTCCAGGCTGAAGGCGCCCCTGGAGCTTCGTTCCACGCGGAAGTGTTCCCCCGCTGCGAGCGGCTGCCCATTCCTGAACCACAGCACCTGCGGCTCGGGGTTCCCTCTCACCTGGGATGGGCGCGACACGCCACACATACCCAGTAACAGGAACGTGCTTAAGATCTTATCCTCGATTTCATCTAGTTTTTAAAACAAAACGATAATCATTTTTAGATAACAAACGTGTGGCGTTCAAATAGAAATGTGTAAGTTTTAGTGAAATCATCATCAGCCATTGTCTATCCGCTGCTGGATCAAGGCTTCCCCATGCTGACGCCATCCCTCGGGATCTATCGACGCCACCATTCATCTCACTCCTGTATATGAACTAATGTCATCCCTCCATCTCCGACGCGTTATTTCCTTCAGCAGCCAGTCAATCACCAGTCTCGTCCATCGGCCATCATCCCATCTAGCGATGTGCAATAATGCTCTCAATATGAATTCTAAAATTGGAGCTTATTCCCTGATTCATGCGTCCCTCTTTCAGTTTCTCAGTGCGATTCGAAGTATGTATGTTGCACTTCTTTCGCACCGTACGTTGCCAACCTGCTAATCAGAGATGTGCGGGAAGGACAACAAACTAAACACGTAAAAAAAGTTCTAAAGAAATTATTTTCAATCTAGCATGCAATCTAGCATGCTTCTCGCCATGCTTCTTTGTGTACTTCTCAACTTTTGTTCCATTGCCTTTGCTAATTTCCACATTTCTGATCCATGTCACTGCTGGCACGACACTCATTGAAAACTTTCTTCTTAGGACGCATTGGTCAGTAACAACATACAATCTAATGAATAGCTTTTTATTTGCACATGGTATATTAATTCAAATTTATAATGCGAATTCCATCCTTGTATCCCAATGCGTGACTGAGGTGGAAACACATATGATATCAGCAGCAATAATTCACTGGTCAACACACTTTTTCTGGCATAAGGTATTCCAACGGTTTTAAGGTAATTTTGGGGTGCTGATTCCAAATCTGGCATCAGTTTTTGTCAGGTTTTTGAGATATCAAATATTGCATTTTCAATAAAAACTGCAGAAGAAAAATATTAAATAAACGTGGATATCTACATAAAATGATATTATAAACACACTATCCTAAAAATACAGCACCATATTTAAACACTAAAGCAGTCACTGACTCGCAACAACTTGCAATCATAAGTGACAGAGTTAATTTCGGGTAAAATCAATGAAAATGGGGTATGCCGATAGCATAAAAATGAGATGTGATAGAGCAAATCTGAGATCAGATTTGGAATCAGCACCCTGACATTAGTCTAAAACAGCTGCAAAAGTCCAGGCCAGAAAAATACTTTTTTTTTGTTGACCAGTGTAATGCTCTTTGATGGATCTCACAGTTGACCCTGGTGACAAGAGGACGGTGTTTGTTAGCGACAACTCTTGTGGTCACCACCATTGTTGGTGCAGCGCATCGCTGATGGACGTCGACCTTCTTAATTTGTCACTCCCTGCCCCACTGCATTTCTGCCATCCACTGAACGTTATTGAAACAAATGTTACAATTAATAAACCCAAGATTAATTATGTTTAGATATCATATCAATAATGCACACACTACTTTGGATTAGGAAAGATTTATCTTTTTTCTATTCCCATTTCATTTTTTTCCAAATAATGTGAAAGGTGTACGCTTTTGTGTCATTTTCAACGCAATTCACGGTAAAAAAAATCAAACTGCCATTGAGCAGTGTAGCCGCGTCACACTGAGAAAAAGTCAGGGCGCTAATGGTCTAATGGTTTTAATATAGGAACAAAAAGAAGACGCAGTTTTCCTGCAGTTATTTAAACTCAGGGGTGTTGAGCAGACAGATAAGGTCACCATGCACTCTTGTAAATGCATTGAATTTGTGTCCTTTTAAAGCAAGTAGAAAAACTTTCCAGTCTCTTTCAAACATTTCATATTTCAGCTGGCTCGGAATTTTTTTTGTTACGCCAGTGCCAAGTCATAGCCAGAAAAGGCGAGCTTTAGCCACCAGTGCCTCACAGTGCCACACCATTTTAGGGAATGTTTTTTTTCAGATTGCACGGAGGAAAGAAGTTCCCTTCCTGTGTACTGTAAACCATACACTGCAATCTCCTTCACCTTTGCTGCTTGCACAGACCGTTTTTTTTGTACCTCTGCAGACGCTGCTGCCTTGGCAAGGTCCATATCTCTGATTGATACGATATTTCAGTTTCCCATTAAGCAAGGCATGGGAATATTTTTTACTCTAAATAACTGAAAACAGCAGCAACACAGAATGTACTTTTGAAGGTGTCAAGTATTCCATTAAAATAGAAATTCATGCAATAGACTCAAGTACATAATCTTACTTATCCAAACCATGGTGATGCAACATTAAATTATAAAACCCTTTTTTTTACCATATATGGAACTAATTTCATGCCACTGAGCATAAACGCATTGACATGAGAATGAAGCTAACCACTTGCTGGGAAGCATTACCTGCTAGACATGTCTCTTTATTCCAGCCTGTGATACCCTTCAAACAACAATATGTTCACATTGTTCACATACAATCATGGATGTTTTTTAATATTTACGAAAATCACTGAACTTGCTTTCGCCAATATACAGCCAGCATTGATCGTAATACTCTGATGTATGAAACCATTACATCAAATGTGACTTTTGTCTTGCAACTTCAATAACATATGGAATTACTTTTCCACGTATAAAATGGTGCTATTCTACTTTGAGATACCACCTACATGTGTAATATATAGGTGTCGTGTAATCTTTAAAACCCAATAGAGAGCTTTGTAGTACACAATGACATCAATTGCCTACCAAAATAAGTCGTAATCCATTTTTCCAAACATTATTTAAAAGGCGACCATTACAGCCCCGTACTCTTTTTTTCACTCGATCCCTTGATGGCAGACTTTCCTGCCATTTGCTTCCAACGTATGTCCGCGACTCTTCAAAACAACCCCCGCACATGTTGTAGAGAGCAATTACCACCGAGCAAAGTACATCCTGTCATTAGAGCGCGCAAATACATGGGAGCGCACCCATGACAACACAGCACCCCCTTGCTACTAAGCCGTGAACTTCAAAATATTCCGATTCAACGCATGTTCTCCAGTCATTTTCCGTTTAATTATGAAGATATAGTGCTTTGATTTTTTCCCATGGTATTTTGTGTTTCATCAGCTGTTACATTAATATAAGGTTTGTATAGTCCCTTTCAATGTACGTTTTGTATTTCTCATCCATATGAATGAGGCAGCTCTGGTGGTGGTGGTGGTGGTGGTTAATGCCTGCACTGTAATGCCGTGATATTCTTAACAAACTTCATTAAACGTTCATCAACATGACCCATACTTTATTTACTGCTGGGTGAAAGGGTCCCCCACACCTACGCCATTACGTGCAGTGCTGCAATACCACAATCCATCTCGCGCTTGCACATGAACTGATCGTATCTCTCCATCTCCATATTGGGGATGTTCTCGTCTGGATATGTTTCTTCTTTGGCTGCTATTCTGATACCACTCTTGTCCATCGGCCATGATAGCGACATAATTGTAAAGCTAGTACTGTAGTCATTTCCTTGCAGATCTGCATACAAAATAATCATATATGCACCAAATCAATCTTTTTTTTTCAAAGAAGAAGAAATTGCAGATGGTACACTTTGGAAAATTAACCAATGCCCTCTGTAGGATAAGAAGAGGGAATGCTCCCGCACTAGATAGAATGATTAACTGTGGTAATCGTTTATAAAGTGGGACCAGATGTAACACAATTAGCGGACTTATTCCCTCTGTGTTTAAACAGAAAGGCAATCGCTCAAATGTGGATGGCTGCCACACTAAGATTACGTGTGTAAAGTAACAAAATGCAAATCAGATGAGGAGTCAGGCAAGGAGATACACCCTCACCAACATTGTAAGACGTTTTACTAAAATTGTAACGCATATACATCAGTGGGAAAGGGTATTGATCGCCTCAGATACGCCGATGGCGTGGTCATTATAACCAATAGAAATTAATTACAGGGAATGACTGAAGAACTTAACGATATCAAGATCCAGGGCTGCACTATCAGGCTTAAGATGGGTATGAGCCAAACACAAGTTACTTGCAGAAAGTTCTCCAAACACAAGGAAACAATTGTTGCATCTACGCCACTGGAAGAGCACAGCAGGACACATGTACACCTGGAAAGACTGTTGAAATCATATGTGAATACAAATAATGAAATAAAGAGGCAAACAAGAGCAGGGTGCAGTGCCTTTGGAAAGCTGAATTTGATCAAGAAAAGCAACATAACTATGTGCTTGAACACAGATTGAAATGTTCAAACATGGCACATTACCTACTTTGACATATGGATCAGAAACATGGGCACTTGCAAGAAATGGTACAAAAGGCTGAAAGCTATGCAGAAAAAAAGGCATGGAGAGATGGATGTTGTGAATTATCCTGAGATCCAGAGAGAGAAACACATGGATCAGAGAACGAATGCAAATTAAAAACTCCGTGTTGGCTGTTAAGGAAAGTAAGTGGACACCTCATGGGCAGAAGGAAATGATTGCCGATGTACGATGCTGGTGACGGTAATGGCAACCAAAGCAATGCAGAAGCCCGAGGGGAACGCCTCCGCGGAGATGGAATGAAGAAATCGGCTCATGTTCATCGCAAGACTGCGAGGGTTGGGATAATAATGGGGAAGCCTTCATTCAGAGGTGGATAGATCATTATAATGATGATAATTTTCAATAAAAGCAATTTAACCCTCAAATTTTTTTTATCAATTGTCACAAATATGTTGTGATATGATTAAAGAATCAATTTTCTCTTGCCTGGATGTTATTGTCTCAATAGTATTGCTTCTAATTTGTATCCATCAGTTGTATAATTGTATTCGCTACATGACCCCTAATTGTAACATGAGCATATCATTTGCATTTCAGTTTCGTCCATCATCAATCGATTATCACGCGCATGATCGATGCGTGTGCCAAAAGTATAAGAATCAAATACAATCATTAATTCATGCACCGTTTTATATTTAATATATGTCATGTA